GCCCTTCAGTTAATCCCACTTGTGTTTATCGGCCAGGCTGGCACAATAAACAATCTCAGCTAGATGATAGGGAAAGCCTAACCAGCACCTAAGCTAAGTGTCCATCTCAGCGACGGCTGCCTCGTGGCTCTTACCTGGAAGCTCCCAAAGCAACTCCCGCCGGGCAGGGTGACGTAGCAGACGTACGGAGGGCTGTTGGAGGGGACCATCTCATAGACCACCAGCGCCCCATTCTTCAAGTCAGCCCCACGGGACTGCTTCATCTGCCAAAACTCCTGAAGCGCCTCCACCACATTCACTACAAACAGAAACAGTTGAGAAATAAGGCCATCTCCATGTGGTGCTGTACTTCCCTAAGCACCCATGCCTCCATGAAGCATCCACCGACAGACGTTAAAAACACCTACATTCATAAACCTGGGCTGTAGGTCCATCTGTGCAAGGAGACAAGCCTAGAGAGTCCCTCCTCCCACCATCCCTACTTCTCATTCTGATTAGTCCGAGACACCCACTGGGAATGCCTGAACTAGTAGAAGCAGCACTTCCCAGGTCGGCAGATCCCTGTTGGCCTGAGGAAAGGCAGTCTCGATCATCCCACCATTGGTCAGTGCACCTAGAATAATAGATACTACAATAGAATAATAGCTACCACAGTAATAAGGGGGGACTTTTAGTGAGTGCTTACTGTCAGGCATTTCTCCAAGTGCTTTACCCATGTAAGCACAAGACCCCACTTTATAGATGAAGGAACTGAGGCATAGAGGGGTTAAATAACTTGCCATGGTTATAAGAGCTAGAATATAGAACTAGAATCCAAATGTAGGCAGTCGGTTCTGGAGTTAATATTCTTAACCCTTATGCGATCATGTCTCTCATGGGAACATGGGGTTGTGTTTGCCCGTGACCCTTTAAGGAGTGGAGTGATGTCTCTCTCTCTCTGCTGTACAATGGCAGAGTCCCCAAGCTAAGTGTTCCTCTTCTGTGACGCAGGCATACGCCTGCGCCTCCCTTCACGTTGGGCTTGGGAGGCCAGGGGAACCTGGGCAGACAAGCATGACGGCACGCCACTTGCTTTGTCTTTGACCTGCAAGTCTTGTGACTTCTGCCAACATCCATGAAAAAGAAACCAGCCACTTTACTAGCTGTAAGCAGGGCAAAATCAAACCCCAGACCTGACACTGCTCCAGAGCACTTCTTTCCACCCCCTAATACTTGGGCTCAATCGCTCCACAAATAAAAATGTACTCAGCACCTACTCTGTGTCAGACTCTCTGTTGGACCCTAGACTACACATGGCTCCTTTCCTTATGCTGTTTGCAGTCCACGCGGGAGAAAGTTACTAATGGACTAATCTCAGACAGATGGAAAATTGTAACTGTGGCAAGCGTTATAAAGGAATGGTACATGGTAAGAAATGTTACGGGGTGTGATGTTAGCGCTCACAAAGAGAGAGATGGGAGATTAGTGCTCCGAACCAACCGCAGGAACGGGGTATTTTCGGTACAGTATCTAATGCTGCTGTAAACAGAAATACAAGTGGGCGTGGAACTTACACAATTTCACGTCAACCTGGAGAGAGATACAAGTGTGGGGGTAGTGTCCAACCTGTCAATTAGGTCACAGTCAGAGAGGGTGCCTCCTTGTGGGTGTGGCCGTCTAATAGGAGGGGCTTGGGAACCTCCCCTTCGCTCTCTGCTTTATCTACCTGCTGGCAAGCCACTCAGAGAACTGCCAGAGCCCTGTGATCCTTCCACCACCATTGGATCCACATGACTGCGCGCACCGGCCTGTGCGAAGTCTGCATTCCTGCATCACTGCGTGTGACTGCTTGAATCTGAAGAGGGACGCATGGTCTCGAGTTGACCTGGCTGGGTTGTTTTCTTGATAGGTAATTATTTTTCTTGATATAAAGCTCTTTCTTGCACATGTGAGTGTCACTTTATTTATTTCCCTAGTCAGCCCGGCCTAACGCAGCAGGTGACAGTATCAAACAGAAATGGATCTTCGCACAGTTCAGGAGGTGACACACCCTAATTCGGAGAGCTGACTCTAAGGGAAGGCTTTCCCTGTCCTAGAGCACCGACTCTCGGTCAACCTTCCTAACGCTGTGACCCTTTAATACAGTTCCTCATGTGGTGGTGACCCCCGCCCCCGACCATAAAATTATTTTCGTTGCTACTTCATCACTGTCATTTTGCTACTGTTATGAATCAGACGACCCCTGTGAAAGGGTCGTTCAACCCCGAGAGGGGTGGCAACCCACAGGTGGACAACCGCTGCTCTAAGAGTAGGCTCTGCGGGGAGGCTCGTGGCTCTTCAGTTACTGCTTTCTGGTACCTTAGCGATCTCTGCATCTTGGCATCTATCTTAGCCTGTCTCTGCTTCCCTCTTGCTTGCTTAATCTCTTTTATTCCACAAAGGAGATTGATTTAAGACACACGCTTTCATATTACAAAGATCACCTGTTCCCAAATGGAACTGTAACCATAGGACAGAGCACAGGCTTCACCCACAATCCACTCTACAGCGGTGAGGGGGGACTGGAAGAAAGCAGTGTGGCTAAACTAGAGAGCTGGAGGGGATGTGATCCAAGGCGAGCTTACAAACGAGGCAGCTCCAGACCAGGAGCTAGAGCCTTAGTGACTGTGTTCAAGAAGGCTGGCTCAAAAGGGGGAAAAAGAACGTTGGCTCGATAATCTCAGGAGTGGGCAAACAACGAGAGGCTTTACATGGAAGAACAGAGGAGATGGATTTGGATTTGGAAATGATCATGTTGGGTTCTAAACATTCCAAATTCTTTTAACTAAGGCCTCGTAATAATAAACTATCACACCCGCTCCCCAATATTTTGCATCACGACTACTCGCTACACCGAATGGCAACAAACCCATTATTGCCAAGCACTTTGGGACTCAGCAAACCCCACAGGACAGGGGGAACCACCCCATAGGGTTTCCAAGACGACAATCTGATGGAAGCTGACAGCCACACCTTCCTCCCGTGGAGCACCAGGGCTCAACTGTTTCCTTTTCCTTTAGCAACTAAGTCCATAACCACCATCGGCTTCTATAGTTCAGGCCTGCCAGAAAACACCAAGATGGGATAAACATGCAAGAGATCTGTTGAGGAAGGAGTCGGAGAAGCCAGGGGAGCCTTTAGAAGTAGGGGGAGAGGAGGAGGACTGGGTCCGAGGGTCTAACTGCAGTGCAGTGCCAAGGAAGGTCTGGTCAGGCCAGTAGGCAGGCCTGGAGGCTGAGGTGTTCCACGTCTCCCCAGAATGTGACTGGC